AGAGACACACGCCTGACACGCGCTTAGTAAATTAAGCGAGCAATCTCCGGCCCAATCTTGCCATGTCGTGACAGTGAAGGCAGCATAGAAACCGATCGATAGTTGGTGCAATATGTGGTTGTTTCCGTGCTCGGGACAGCTGGTAGCATCCACTCTGATTGGACGCTAATACCAACTACCTTTGTTCAGCAACGCTAATTAGTATTGGCCAGCGGGTCTATAGAGACAAGCATAGATTATTGCGGCAACTCCTACCATCCCACGTCAGTCTGGATTCTGGATCAGTGCCTCTGTCCATGTTAGGAAAATTGAATATCTATCCCGTAAGACCACTAGCTGTAATTTAGTCAATATTAGAAATCAAGGAATATCGCACTTAGCTATCCATTCGGGACGATGACAGCGAAAGTTGGTAGCGGCTGCGAGATGCTATCGACTGCTCCACGGGACGATATATTCCACGCATATCACGCGTGGTCAATACGGAATTACGGTGAAAATGGCAAAACTAAGACAGTGACTAGGAAAAAATATAAACGCATAATCAAAATATTGGAACTGGACCAGGAATCCACTGATAACTCCAAGTTTAAGTTCTGGGTAAAAAGCAAAGGATTCCGTCTTGGGTCCCGGGCCGGTTTGACACGCATTGAGGGGGAGGAGCCGCTATTGTACGTTCCAACAAAGGTTACGGTAAGATCAATTATTCAATCGATCTATTACCCATTGAAACTATTATATTGAGCTGAACTCGACCCAATGCGCCGTATTTATTACACGACCTTTATGACCTGTTATACAATATGCTTTCACTAATGTAATTGTTTTACTTTCAACTTGTGTTTAGAGCATCATACAAATACAATAAATCATTTTGTACATGCGGCAAAGCTGTTGACTCAATACAATAGGATAAGAGAGCGTGTGCCCTACGATAACTGATGTTTATCTTGATACCTGTGACGCATTTATTTAGAGGACACACCCATCCCTTTCAAGGGTTGGGGCACTATTCATTTCATTTCATTTCATTTTAGGGCTAAAATAAAACCTCATTTTCAGAACTAGGTACCACGTTTTGAAAATATGGGACTCTCCTGGAAAAAGGGGCCCATTTGAGAAAACTGCCCAAAATTTTCGGAAAAGGGCTAAAGGGGGTGTCGATAAATAATGTATGTCCTTTGTCAATTTCCAGATCCACTTATGGATCCAGCGAGATATTTCGTACGCCTGAAAGAAAACATTGGTGTAAAAGTAATAGTCCATATTCTGACATTGAAAAGTAGTATCCAAAAAAACTAATTTGATCATCATACACGCCATTCTTTATGACTAAATGACTAAACCAGTATGGACGCTGTTGGACACCCTTTTATCAAATCCGAAGTTCTGCTAATTTACCGATAATGACCTTTAATTATCGACACAGTCATGGATGAGAAAGGAAGATAACTATTTTGTCAGAATTTTCAAAATGAATTACGCCACTTTCGTGCTGGGACATGTATACAAAGGCATTTAAAGAAGTGATTGTTTCGGACTTATTGGTTATTGGTTTTCGAATCAGAAAAATGTACGTTTGGTTTTTCAGTGTATTCATTCCAGATTCTTCCTCGATGGTTTTAGCACTGAATCAACCCAACACGACTTACTAATATGCGTTAATGTAATGCTCTCTAGTTAAGGATATACATAATGGCATACTTATGGTAGTAGAAAAATTGGCTTTATCTTCATTTGAGCTGTCCTAACTGAAGCTATTTGTTGTCTTTGAAATATTTATTCAAAAATAATAGAATGACGAGCAGCACAATAAGGCCTATGAGATCATGGATATTGTTTTAAATTATTTCATTTACTTCACTTATCAAGCGATAGAGAGCGATGTATAGAAACGTTGCCAGCTTTCCATTGGGGCCTTACTAAAACTAACGTATACCTGTGTGTAGTAATTTGTGATTGCGCGTGTGAGTAGTGTGGGTTATCGGTTGTTCCAATTTGTTTGATGCTAAAATCGCTTGAAATTCATTTTTTGACAATTGATATCAAGATATATTTGTAGTATATAATGAATGATGCCGAAGGTGTACATTGTTTCATTTACATTTCAAAATCCCCTAAAAACTTAAATCGAACGAATCTTAAACGAGATTGCTTTGGAATCAGTGATACCCCATCGCTTCCTTTCAAGACGTTTATGTAAATGCAAATTGTGACTTAATCATATAGTTATTCGGTAAATTCTTTTATTAAAATAGACTGACTATATGTAAAACATGAACTTATAAAAGATATAAAACATATTTGTAACCGTATTGTTAACCTAATATACTCCTTTTTATTGGTATTAGATGGAATGTGTTACCTATAACCTATTGACCATCTTCGACTTCCAAAGTTTAAATAAACAATTGAAACGTTTAGAGCATTGCCAATATCCAATTAAGTTGTTTGCCAGGCTAGTCTTGATGGCTTGTACCATTCCCAATAGTTTGATTTCGCTACTTAAAAGACAGCTTCATCTCCACTCTGAGGTAATCCTTTGATCATAGCCTTACCTAATCAATGTATTGAGAACGTATCGATCAGGTTGAAGCTACCCAATCAGTGCAGTATCTTGCATTTATTTTATGTCCAAACTCCCATAAAAGGCCACGCAAGCTACTTTGTGGGTTCATTTGATCTACAGCATCAAAACTGTATATTTATTTCTTAGTTCTCTGTGCCCGGGGTAGGTGGCCTGTAAGATGCTATTGGAGAAAATTAAAAACTGTTTGCAACGTTCACGCCGCAGGTGCATCACAAAGTAATTATTTTGTACTGATCTCTTCCAGACAACTGACACCATTGTCATTAACAAACATCCCGAGATTTCAGCTTGAATTCTCTGTAGGATTCTCGTTTTGTGCCTTCGAGTCATTGGGAAGTATGAATATAGTTCTGTTGAGCGTTAGATCATGTTTATTGCAAGACACGATGCATTCTGAAGCAGAAATATGATATACAAGTAGCATTCAAATGCTTTCAACAAATAGTCCTATTTCAAGACCCCGGACTATCTCCTTCAACAACTCTGTCACAAGGGATTGTAGCAAGACTATTGAAACATAACTTCTCCACTAAAGGTAGAATTAAATCTGTAAGGGTGACAAAATTGCAGACAACATGAACCTAAGATCTCAAAAACAAAAAAATTGCGATATGTTATCAATCAATTTGTGAAGTTATTCAAAATGTTTAAGGTTTTTAAAAAATCTCCCAAATAATAACTATGACGACTACATTTGTCAAACTTTTGGTGGGAAACCTATTGTACCATTGTAGGATCCACAGCCTGTAATATACTTGGTCTAATTTCATAATTTTGATCTGATTTTCATGATGTTACACTAAACGCCTAAAACACTTAACACAATGTGATATCACTACATCGCAAAAACGTTTATTTTGATAAAAGGTGGTATTCCGCACCTAATAAAAATAGAGGGTTGCATCTTTCGTTCAGCTTGTATTAACGAATTAGTTAAACTTCGATGGATATAGTTTCCTATTATATCTTGTATTCGAACAAATGTGCTTTCTTTTGAAAAAAACTAGCGAGTGCACATTGTGCGATTTGGGAATCGTAAAATGAAAAACTCGATTTTATTCCTTGTATACCGAATACGGTACAGGTTTTTAGTTAAATGTTTATTACACCGTAAAAAGCTACGGTTTTCTTTTAAAGAAGTCAAATAGTCCAAGCAGCGTTGTTTTAAGCTAATTAATGCGACGCGTTGATATCAAATTAGTGAAACCCTGTAGGTGGCACGGCCCTACTGACCAACGACAACGTTAACTATTGTAACCAACCTAATTAAAAATGGAAAAAACGTTATTTATGGTGTACTTTTCAAACAATGAAGTAGGCATATTTTCAAGAAAATTCGAAAAATTCCATTCAGCAATCTTTCCTTATTGTTGAACATTTTCAGTCGCATATTCAGAGGCTTCAAAATTCTTAACTACATGATTTAGTGTACAGACTTTCTGCATCTCTAGAAAAGGTGTCCTAGAACATAAAGATGCAAGATTTTGGTGGAAATGGTATAGAGAAGGAGTTCCTATTCACTAAAACTCTGGATCCCCTGTGGTACTTAAAAAGATATATTTTGACATCAAGGTGGAATTTCAATGATACAGAGTACATCTCAATATGTATCAGTTATATCGAGTGGTTGATTTTATAGCAAATCCGTCCTTGGCGACAGCGAAACTTTCATAATTTAGCTTCACATGAAACCAGACAAGTGGCCTGTGGTGTGTACATGTATCACTAAATATTATTACAAATATGTGTCGGTTTGAAAAATACGTCGCTCTCTCTATTTACTTGAGCTCTGTGTGACTTGCTTTATTGATGTGAACTCTCTGTTTGCTATGTTGACTTGAACTTGGTGTGGCTTGCTCTATTGCCATGATTCTACTGGTTTGATGTTACCGTGTGTGGTTTGATTGTTAGAAATTAGTGACATCCGAGAGATGGTTGTTAAACAAGAACTGATAACTTCGGCGCTACTCCTATTAACCCTTCCAGGTAATCACAACTCGTTTGAATAAGTAGAATGGTCAATGGCAATGTATTATACATAAGATACGATTATCTTTGTAATCGTAGATTGAAACCATATGTCCTCTCTAGGAAGTGACATGCAAGCCGAGAAGGCAGCATGATGGAATTAAGTGTGTATTCACTGGTTCAACACTATAAGATTGTCCTGTCGCCGAGATGAAGTAAGCATACATTAGAGTTACCGGGACAGGATACGTTTCCATGGCAACTAGTTGATTTATCATTCAGTTAGCGTATGGTGTACTAGAGAAAATCTGTGTAATTACCTGGTTACTCGCCCAATATTGTAGTCATTCTGTAGCTTATATACTTCTCTGTCCAATTGGTTTCAACACGCAACCCATTGGTACACATCCGCCTATTACTAATCCGAGGACGAACATTTTCTTCTTATGAGCCAAGTGTAACGAATTTTTATTTTTACGAAATTGCTATCTGGTCATGGCATCTGCTTATTAAAGCTTTGAAGTTCTTAGCCTATCAAATATTTGAGTTCCTATGGCATATGTTTATCTTATTGCAGGCTGAAGATGCTCCAGACGAAGACAGGGTCTACAAACGTGTGGCAGTGGTGGAAGATTTCTTCGATATTATATATTCTGTACATGTTGAAATGGAGGGACGAAGTGGAAAACATGCGGGACAAAAACGAACCTACAAAGCGGTGAGTCGCCGTACAGTGATGTTTGGTCCTCATTGCTTAGTTACATCTCATACATGACTGGAGTATAAGTCATATCAATTAACACATGACTAATATCGTAGCTATATTAAGTATAGACAAGAACCAATAACAGATTGCACAACATGAATGTTCCTTAAATATAATTAAGCCATTCCAAACCCTTTACCATTTGACCTACTGTTATCCCGATGTATATAGGATCAGAACCTTGTTGCAAATTGCGTCATTTGTTTTTCCGTCAATGGAGCATCTTGAAACTCTTCCTCTACACATATATGCATTGGAAGGTAATCGTAGTAAACATTCTGCCGAGTGCTGGTTTTTGTCATATCAAATACAATAATTTTCTTCTGCCTTCTTCGTGGGCCATACCACGTCTATATTTGCTAATGTTGTTAAAAAAGGTCTTTCAAAAATATAATAACTGGAGAAACTGGACTAATTTTTTCAAATTTTTTCCATCAGTGGTTCTAGTTATATTCGAATTATTCGGATTAGACTCATACCTATAAGAGACCCAAATTATGTAATTTTCAACACAATACTTAATTTAGTTCACAGTCGGGAAGCAATTTGATATTTATATACAAATTAGAGTAATTCGCGATATAACGCATATTAATATAATTATATGACAGATCATACTTAAGTAAACGCCAGGTCGAATGACCAACATCTTTTGTATTACAAATTGGTGATTTCGTTTGTCTGTACCTGCGAATCAAAGTGTCGTTAACTAGATACGAAAGTTCTGCCACTGAAATTAACCATTAAAATCCCTGTTTTCATGCACATGTAACAAGAAATACACTGGCCGAATGTACCTGAATGAAATTCTGGGGAACAATTACATAATTGGCCTCACTGTATGGTTTTGAAACCCATAGCAGTGAAAGAAATTATTAGCGAATAAATAAGTTGACGTTTTCGGATCAACCTGTACTTTTATGATATACATTTACATACTGTCTTCCATTGATTCCAGATTTCTGAAACCTATTCGTTTATACCACGTGAAGCAGTGACGCATTTTCTTCTCTCGTGCGCAGACTGTCAGAAGCGCATGCATAGTGGAGAGAACAATAATGTAACAGCGAACACCTCACTGGACCAACCTATAATAGACTATAGTATGCCCATCACAACAGCATATCTTAATCACATGCGTGGAAAGGGACAGGTTGGGGACGGATTCATGTATCAAAATGGCGAAGTCAAAATGGAAGAGGTAAATATATTTTACGTTCATGGGTGTTAAGGTTAATGTCCGTTTCCATTCTATATTGCGAGATAAACATTGTCATTTCCGATGGAGATTGACCTTTAGGGGTCGTTGACCTCGTGAGGATAAATACTGAATACCTTTGCATCCAACACCTTCAATAAGTTTATCCTAATAATCATTTAGGGCAATGAGAAGGGCTCATTGAAAGATGGTGCTAAACTGTTCCTCAGCCCCTTAATTCAACTGTTTTAATCCCGGCAACCGGAGGAGAAAGAATGTTGTTCCATAAAAAACATATAATATGATGATTCGTTATTATTATGAGCTCAGAACTTACAAAAAGATCTTTGGCTAAAGATGAACGATTTTAATTTTCATGAATAAGAAAGACGATTCAAGTTCGCAATTTACTCATCTCAACTACCATTTTGATTTTTAGGGAGACAGAGAATGCGATTTGCATTTTCTAGTCAACGGCCCCCTGTACATCTCTTTACTACTTATATAAAGAAAATTGGTCCACCAGCAGTTTAAATATGACATCGTGACAACACTCTTTGTAGGATATCAAAATACAGTTCAATAATTAACACGTGGGTGTTAATTAGCGGACCGTCATTGGAGTTCACAAATATGCATATGACAATAGTCAACTTAGCCAATTACTCAGATGCGAGTAGGTAGTTAGCAGTTTCGCCACCAGGTGGCTGACTCGGGGGAATTAACATGGCAGGGTATTACAAAATTCCCTTAAACTTGAATATGCATCAGTTTTAATGGTTCACTTTTCATATTACCTTTATGTAACTGATAGTTATACAAATTAAAATATGTCCAGTAAAAGAAAATATTATCTGCCCAACACAATAAAAGATATTTCACTTTTTGTGGTTTTACAACATGGGCTCTATGGGGAATCTCCCCGACCTAGAAGTCACATTTTCAAAGAAAATTTAATTTTCAAAGTTGATAAAGTCTTTTCAAAACCACATTTCTAAATGTAATTTTACATGAAGATTCCAAATATGACATCAGTTTGACTGAATTGTGAATTTTTAATGACGTAAATCAAGATTATTTCTACTCGCATCTGGGATATTGGGATACTAAAAGCTTTAGAGGGTAGGCTTAGATCACTGGTATAACCAAGGTTCAGACAAAACATATGATTGAAAACTGGTCACATGACCTCAGTTCAACTTTTTCTCACATGTTCCTACGATGACATCCTTGTTCCTTAACTTGTGACAAAAACATGTCTGTCAAATAACCTCGGGACCTTTATGGTATTAGGACAGTTTATTGAAAACAACATAATTATCTTTTTTATCAAATACGAATGGGGATCTACATTTCACCAGTTCAAGAGCATTTTGATAACATTCTATCAACTTCAAACTCGACCGCAGAATTGATGGTATTTTCGATCCTTGAACAATATTACTAAAATTAAAAAATGTAATTCGAGACTGCCATATCCAGTGGTCTACCTAGATACATTCCATTTAAATTTGGAGCCCCGTCACTAGCACACATATACTTTCTTGATGGCAAGTACGATCTTGATTTAAAATACATTTCCAAAAGATTGAAAACTGGGCCATGTTGATTTTAATTCTAAGAATTCAAACTGACCTGTTTTGAAAACTGAATTTATGACAACTTAGTCAAGAGTGAACAGGAGTCATTATTATTAATATTTACGACATACTCTCATTTCTTTAAATTTATTCTTCTATACTCAGGGTTAAAAGGTGTTTTCAAGTTCATTGATTCTATTGAATAGGTCAAGATTTTTTCAAAGCTTTATTTACATCTTCGATCAATACTTTGTCTCCCTCAAACGTTTAACGAGAGAGCACAATATAAAAGTTATCATTATTTATAGATGGCAGATCAGTTCAAAGATTGCTATAGTATTACACATTACAATTCTGGAATCCCGAAAGAAACATACTCTCTATCGCACCCTGAGGCTCAGATCGCACCCGTATCGTTTTTACCTAGTACGTACCACAGGTGTATTTCAGTCGCGTGTACCTCACCAGTTCTAAAGTACAAAAAGACCTGGTAGACTATAGCTAAACTTGACTGAATGTGTACGTGTCAAAACTAAAACCATTACACCAAATACTTGCATCTTCGCACGCTCGGTCTTCACCACCGTTGGTTGACCGACAGACGGGTGCCGAAATGAGGAGAGTACTCATGTTCTAGGGTGTTCAACAATCATACAAAAGTTGGAGTCTTTGGAAATGAAGTCAATTTATATTTCTAACTCGATAATAAATTGGATAAATGTAAATTCGAGTTCTAACATCATCATGTTTTAACTTGTAGTCCAAAATTGTTAAACCTATAGAGGAGTTTAAATATGTTCTATCGGTTCATATCCACAATTCGCATACGTTCCACTAATTATGTTAATTGAATGGGGGTGTTAAGAACATCTAGGTTCAAAATGACAGCTGCAAATAAGAATAAGAAAAACTTAGTGCAAATTCCACGAAAGTTTGTCCTATTTTGAGGTTCTGTCAACACGGGGCTCCAAACATCAATCTGGATGATCACGATGTTCTGCATTGTAGGATCCAAAGCCTTTACTATCCTTTAGAATATACAAGCATTAGATAAAAAGTGACTCTGATAAATTAGAATGGAGGTTCTGTATTTGTTCAGAATCAGCTTACATTATTCATTTTGTCTTCCTTTTCTAATAGAGTACATTGTGTTTTCTCAATGATCAGTGATACTTGATATTTTACTTAGCAGTTTTGAATCGAGGAATACAACAATTTGCAGCTAACGCTAAATAATTCCTCGCTCCTTTTTTCACCGCGTTATAGTTTCATAAGCAATTGCTTGAATGACCCAATTTAGCGTATATCTATGAGAAGAATGCCATTAAGTTTTGCAAATACTGCCCCAAGTTACATCCAAAACTTAAATGTTTTTCATGTTTTATTGGGTATACATTGTTACACGCCGGCCCTTGTAAGTCAGTGTTTTAACCATTTAATGTGACGACCAGGTGACAAGTGTTAACTGTTGAACATTTATTACCATGTTTATGTACCGATGTCAGTTCAGATGCTCCCGTGGGCACTTCTGTGTACCAATCGGCTTGAAAAACCGAACAAAACCCTCTCATACATCGTAACAAACATACAGGTAGGCGTTCTGCTTTTTCTCTTACTTCCATTAGCTAATGGTGGTTTTTAGTCTCTCTAGTATTGATCTGAATGTTTTGGACGCGGCGTTCGGTGAAATTCTACACTAGGGAGGTGCACAGAACATCGCTGAGGAACTGATCAATACAAGAAATAAAGATTTCGTTCCAATTTAGTCTACCCACTTATAGGCTCAGGTAGGAATCAGATAATAACCCGTTGTCATGGTAATAGAGATAAGTCAGGTACAGGAGCATGGTTATTAAGATGTTTTAAGGAACATCTTAAGTGCGTCAGAATACCCATATTCTGCTCGTAGACGCCACGTAATGAATGGCGATGTGAAATCACGAAAAACTGCATCCATGCGACCGTGTTGGAATTGAAGTTGTCTTTCCTCGGGTCATATACATGTAGGTATTTTTGCAGAACCTAAACGAGACGTTTTATTGTTTTTCAACAGTCTTGACCCCGAGTAATATACCAAAGCTTAGTTTTAGTGATTTTCGTCTAACGTTATTGTTTGGAACAATTTTGATAATTTGAGATGCCGTTTCACACAAAGAAAGGTATAATTATAATATACTTAATATTAAATAGAAACCAGTCATGCCAATTCCACTTTATTTTAGCAAAAGCATACCCTGCTGGAAAGTAAAAATTCACATTCCATTGTCCCATTTGTTTTACAGTAGCTGTAGTCATATATCAAACGCTAGTCGCAATAACATGTTGTGCTACATAACTGTATGGTCACGAAGTAGATTAAGTATGCGCAATGGGTGATTTTGCGACACTGGTCATGGGAAGAGATGCTTAATATTGATAAATGGAAGTGAAACTCTAAAAGTAAACATTTCTTCGTGTATTTTGAAAAATGCTCTTACGAGTTATCCAAATATGCAAATTCATCATAATTTTTCCATTTTAAAAATTGTAATTGTAAGAAGAAAAGTAAATACTTTGATAAAAACAAAGTAAATAGAAAATTTGTGTTGATCTGATTTGGGAAAATGGTTTAAAACGTGTCAGCATACAGCTTCCCATAGTTTTTCATTCGAAATATATACAAACTGTATGGGTGATATGAATATTATGGAATGATATTTGGCATGTCATCAAATATTGTTTTAATTTAGTTAATATATTGAAAGGTTTATAACGAAACCCTCCTTTATTGATCGATAACAAACTGCTGTTGCACCTTTACTTCTGTAACAAGAATCATATGAAAAAATAGAAACGGGCACAACTGCCTTTGAAATAAACATCTTTACCTTTATTTCTATTAATAGGCCTACTTTAGGTATTGATTTTAATTGAAATAAGAAAAACGATCGCCTTGACTCGAAATAGGTTGTTTTACAGCCGTAATCATAATAGCGTGTTTTTCATACACTCATTGTTTAAGAAAAGATGCATTTATAGCTGATAATGAAAAAATGCGATGAAGATATTAAATACTGTATAAAAACAACAGTGTTAAAAAGTTCGTAGTCAAATTTTAATTTATTAGAATTGATTTATATGTGCTTTGTTTTGAGGGGAGGGGACAGTGCACAGTAGTATGCGTTTTTTGCACCAGGTGGGTGCTTGCGAACAAAGGCCGATTCGGTGAGAATGTGGGAAGAGTAACCGGCATTGAGCCACTGATTCATGAAGAAGAGAGACGTTCTCAGGAGATAATAGCCACAGTTAGTCCGCACACGTTCCACTGTAATTACCATAGATCGATACTCAAGGGGTTTGACGTGTACCCCTAAGGTGAACCAAGCCCTCCATGTCAAATAACTTGCGAGCCTTTCTAATAAATTACACACTGCGACGACCTCCTAGATTTTTTATCAATAATAGTTGATATTGGTAATAGGGATGGACCATTGAAAATGCGGTATTCGTCCTTGATTTATTAGATTCAACGCTCAGGTAATTTATGTAATCGGTGTTGTAAAAAGTACTTAGACGCCAGAGGAAGCGTTTAATGGCGCATTCTGCTCCGATCCAATCCGATCAGCAAAGTGGTTACCCATAATAATTGCGTCGAAGTGAGATCGGTTAGTTATCTTACAACACAATCATACACGTATAGTCACGTTTTTCCAGAGTTGAGACTTTTCTTCAATTTTGGACATCATTATGTACATATATTATGTTCACATGGGAGTAGCATACACCTGTTCATAGTTACTTTGATAGGTGTTATTAAATTGGAATGTGACTGCATTCATCTGTTTAGTATACGTACACGTATGGCAATAGCAAAATAAAAACAATAACAACAATTTCGTATGTTTATATCGTAGGTTTGGTAATGTAATTATATTCTTCGATAATTTGGAACGAAATTCTTAACTTGCGTCCATTGATTATTATTTTGGCCATTGTCTTTCATTATCGTTCTGGACAAACTTTATTCAAAGTTGAGGGATGGTGTAACGTCGTGCTGAAAACCAATAATTGTTGGATTATATTTGACCAAATTACCGCTGAAGCCTAAATTGTGTAAAATCGATAATGTATTCGTACTGTAGAGGCAATAGCAGGGCCAATGTAACACGAGGCTGGCGAGAAGGGGATTAATCATATACTACAATACACGGTATAGGGGCGATGCTACCATACGTGGCGCGTGTCTCTCTGAGTTAATTCCTTTATTGATATTTACAACAGATATAGACCACAAGAAACATTGGGAATATAGAGATAGAACTGTGACAAGATAGGCCTAGATAAATTCCGGAGAAAAGCAATACCATATTGTATGCGGTGATCCCAAAGGGGTCGTGAATTATAAGAAGGAAAGGGCGCGATCGGATCAAGAAGCTGTAACTGAGTTGTAAGTATATAAAACACAAGCAGGATCTTCTCCGTTTTTGTGAATAGTGAATATTATCACACATATGTTCAGCACAAGCTATAGCCTTATTGTATTGATACACAGACAGATATGCAGAAGAGATTATTGAATACAACCTAATGTTCCTGTATATAGCATGTGTGTACTGATGTAGCTAGGGAATTTATTTAGCAATAACCTTCATATAACCTAATCTAAATATCGGAAAGTAATCGTAAACTATCGTTAAACTACATATTTGGAATATATTATTCATTTTACCTTTCAAGCCCCGTATTGTTCATGCTTAGAGTTTTATGTGTTATCTTTGAATGTTGTTTTATTGCAAGAGGATTCATGAACAATCATACAATGCATGTTATCCTTTGAAATATGTTAAACCATTATTGATTGCCTTAGATCACATGAAATCATGAGATCACATGTCATCCATGATTAGCCTTCATTTTGATCAGCAATTCCTCGGAGTTTTGCAATGACTTCCAAGTTGTTCATCCTGATAGCTTTGACACACTTATACGTGTTGACGAATTTCTCAAAGCCAACAATAAAAAACGTTTTGACCAAACTCTTGTACCATACATTATTTTGATAACAAACAATTTTTACACGTTTTCTGATTATTTGAGGAGGTTTTCTCAACTCCTTCATTCTTCCATATCTTGACCTTCGTGGAAATGATGAATTGTGTGCTTTCATAATGGTGTCTAGATAGATAATACCAAAAGGCTTGAATCGTCGTTCAGAAGTCCTCTATGCTTTGAAATGCTCCATATTTCAGATCCTTTGATTTTTTCATATGACTTCATACTTTTAAATATATTTTTTATTGATAACCTCAAAGTCAAAAACATTTTAATAGAACCAATCAAAAATGATCATAAGCGTCTTGTGTTTCCCATAATATGCATGACTAAATAAGTCATATGTAAACTTTAAAAAAGGTGTAGGCTCTTTTCATGTTCGACGGAGCAACTGAAACCTTGTAAACCAAGATGTTTTTAGTAAGGGTTTAAATCTGCATTTTGTTTTTACTCTTTTATTCATTAAATTATTCATTTACATCATTCATAATATATTTGGAAAACGTACATTGCAAAATTGCATGAAACTATTTAAAAACAATGTGACATCCAGTGTTGCTTCTGAGAGACGTTATGTAGTCGACTGGTAGATACAGTGAATATATTTAATCTATTATCATTAATCATTCATAAATTCATCAAACTAACTAAATAAATAAATACGATTTGACAATGACTTCAATCATGTCATGCGCGTTTTGTCTAAATATATACATTAGAATATATACATTAGAAATACACACTAGAAATAACTAAGGGCAAATCTGAAGATTTATTCGGGGACATTTACTGGTCACTTTGGTTTTCATTGGTAAGTTTGGGTTGTAACATTTGCTTGTGTTGCCATCTAACTCCCACGATCGTCATATGTCAATCATGAACATCTCCGTGAGGTGTAACGTCTATTTCGTCTCAATTTCGTGTTCTGAATAATCTACCAATCCGATTAATTACGCCAATATGCTCCCTGTTTTCATTTTGATCAAATGCTAATAAAAGTTGATGTCCCATTTCAGGTTTTACCTCAGGTATATCGATTAACTATATAAAACTATGGCCTGATTTCAAGTGCTTCAACAAACTTTTAATTAATCTCAACATCAATGCAGAACATAGATTATTGGGCATTATTTTTGAATAGAGTGCACCATATGGTACAAGTATAACGTTTGTACTCTTGTGTAAATGCCATGAAAATCAGTTGAAAAAATGAGAGCATTATCCATTGTTGAAATTGAAGCCAATTTTATGAGTCACAAAGGCAAATCCCAGAATATATTAGATATTTGGAATCAGGGAACACTGGCTTGTTTTCCACGAAATAATCGATACGACTACACCCCTTTTACACAAAGAAAAAACCTCATCCGTTGCAAGGCAAATTAAAATCGAAGCTTTTGGTTGGCCGTTATCTTCTCCTAAGCGGTGCAGGTCTACCTTTGAATTGGAACTCTAATTCACTGGTTACTAGGCAACTGCGGAAATGGCTCTCATGGTTCTAGAGAATTTCTTTATGCGCTTTGACTATTCGCTGTTCGTGTGACCCCTGGCTCTTTGGGGATATCATTTTCTTTCCGCTAATAAATGCGATGAATGTATAGGTAAAATTGCTTTCTGCGATAGTATCAATTTCTTATGTATTAGATATAATGATTCTTCTTTCACTATGCCTACGTAGCATGGTCGACTATTGCATTAGAGAATATTTTGACGTCCAGTTTGATAATGATTAACACTTTCAAAATCTGATTTCGTCGGCATATTTTGATTTTGCTGCTTCAACTACTGCAGACAATTCCCACGTACCCAAATGGTTGCGAGCTTTGGGAAAAACAAACTATTTCCCCAGAGCGAGACTTCTGCTACTTAAATTGCACGAAGTCCTGAAGAACGCTAATGAGTGATATCAAAAACTGAAGTTTATCTTCATATTGTGTTTGGTGTATTTTCAGGACAGTATGTCGAGTATAAGTGACGTCAGTGTACCCACAAGTGATTCCCCAATACCAGCACTAGGGGGCCTCAGTCCAATGCCACCAGATCTTAAAAAGGGTAAGTGCGAATCCTTGATTTTCACCCTTAATCATAATTATGGAATCTTAGTCAATTTGTAGAAGGCATCCCAGTATAACCAATATTCTACATGGGGTATGAAGAAATGATAGACAACACAATACAGTAAATAGTAAATACTATATATTATATAAGTCAGTGTTATTGTCAGTATTAGTGATACAGAAACAGGTATGACTATAATGGAAATGTGACTGGTAATTTAGAATGTGAATTATACAATCGTGTTTGCTTATTGTACCATTGTACCTATTCGTTTACCTTTTGGTGACTTGTGTGTTAGTGTTAAAATCATCTTTAGGGTCAGTTTCACTGCTTCTACTTTTCAAGAGATGTCTTCTTGGTAGGCAATTGTGGAGTGTGGCGTAACATAATTCATCATCTTCACCCTATCATCCACCAAGCAATGGCGTTTCAGAGAGAAAGGTCCATGTATGATACCCACTGAAATTAGAATGCAAAGGGTGTTTCAAATCCTAAAACAACATATCTTAGACACTCATACATGTCCAGGACATTTATAATTAAGCAGTAAACATTACGAAGGTCATTCAAATTACATTATGCAAAATATCATAAACCATGTCCTGAACCGAAAACGTTAAGTTATTCAAATTATATGAGAAGCCTTTAATATGAGAACACACCTCACTTGATCTTGCATTTTGAACATTTTTTATGAAATTATTTTGATGTAGAGCCATCTTAATGTAAACAATTCAAATAATTATTGCCACAAACTAAAAATGATTTTCAGTTTCAGATTCAGTTTTGATTTATGTGTATCGTTTATGAGATACACCATTATTTTTCTTTAGTTCAGACATGATAAAACTACCCAACATTAAATTAGAAAAGATAGAAGCTTCAATATTTCCTATTGATAAAATGATAGGGGTGTATTAGCCAGAGTATAATTACAAGCAACATGTTACCATTCTCCTGTTCTTTATATGATCACAAGTTTATTGTGTACTGGAAACAGGTGCTTTTAATTAGATAACATATTGTTGAAGTGACAAATGAGAGCTTTTCTCTACACCATTATTGATGAATCTGCTTGAATGGCCATGTCATTTATATTAAATATTGCATTTACATGGCCAAATTATTTTGTGCATTTGCATGTACGAGAACCAAACAAGAGTTATTTGTTTCATGAATGGCAGATCATCATACAAATGGTTCATACTGACAGTAAAGATGTTAAGCGTACGATTAGTTTTCTCTAACAAAAACAATGACTATCCAATGAGTTTATTCAATTGAGGTTTTTAACTTTTAGGCACTATGGAAGGTTTGCTAATTCCAGGTATCTGGTATATCTGTCAGATGGTGGAACCAATGCGATGAAAAGCTTCAAAATTGTTAATTTGAGTATCAATGTAATTATTGTAACACATTGGGGAGCAACTGCCTTCAGGGTGGTAGAATATACACCTGAATTATGTACTCCATTCAAAAACTTGAAAATTTAGCAATGAGTTCATCAAAATTCAAATATATACCAATCCAATATTGTGTCTTCGTTGAAGAAATTGTTTTGTCAAAATCAATATCAATATCGCAATCATAAATCGCTCGAGCTGAACTGCATGCGACGCAACGCGTGCATGGTCTCGCTTATTCATTGATGGGTCGCTATGCTACATGTGTGTTGTACCTCCACTAGAATACGAGAATTGATCCGGATCTGTTTGCTGGTGTAACGTTGCAGAAAAACAGGTAAGTATGACAAATGTAAATAGCATCTTGTTGTACCATATTCCACCTTTCGAATGAGTAATATTTCCAGTAACATATTCGTAAGAAACACTGGCATATTTCACAAATGACAAAAACTTCTCATCAAAATTCAATTTCATTCAATTTATCAAAATGATGGCTATAGACAATTAAAAATACATAGAAAAACAAGGTTGGACAAACAGAATTTCGCTTCCACCAATGTGGAATAGACATTAAATGTCCATTAAATGCGCTCAATTAGACTCAACGCTCTCCTACCATTACAAGCAGCGAATGGGTCGTGTTTGCTACCTCCACTTTGATGTAAAAATCGATTTCCAACTACTTATCTATGCCATTATTTTAGAAGATAATATATTTATTTACAAGGGTTGCGAATGTTGGCATATTCAATCCATCGCGATAGTCGAGAGATGATAATATATTCAAACTGCCATATTAAAAGACTAAATAACGATTTCCGGGTGGAATAGTGTTAGACTCGGTATTTGCCATTTCCTTCTGCCCAATCCTTAAACTTGTGAAGATGACGTTAAAGATAACTCTGTGGCGCAAATATTCATCTCATTATAACTTTGAATCGACCAGATATCAATTTTTCTGTCTTGAAAATGGTACAAATGTGAAGGAGGGTGATGTTCATTGCAACATACATATCTTTCCAAATCCCATCGAATAATACTGATTCGAAAGAGGTTTGTGACTCATTGTTGTATATTTACTTTGTCAAATTGGAGTCAATTGATTATATAAAGCAGCAACAGATCATCCCAAGAAAGGCCCGGTGTAAAGAACTGCGGCATGTGGTAAAATGCCAACAATGAACATAATCAAGTAGGCCGCTCGTTTTCACTTTAATTTCAAGGGATGACTTTATTAGTTTATGTTCATTATTGATTTACACGGACAGGATCTTTTTGAATATTGTTGTGTTATATCAGCAGTCGAATTTCAATGGAAGAGCACCGAGCACCGAGCAACGATGGCCGAAGATGATTCATGGTGAATGGAGGCTCGCCTTGTTACTATCCCACTTGGACTCGTTAGATACTTTTTCATCCTATTTTGACATATGATTAGCATTTAGCACTTTGTTTAAACTTTTTGTTGAAATTGAATATCTTTTTTTGCTTAGTGTTCCTCTTTTGGGGTGATTCCCCATTCAGAAGGGAATGGGAGACAGGTAATACTCTTAACAAGGTTGATCTGACGGATCGATCATTTTCCTAGTACACAAATGTCTTACGTTATCCAGCTGCATTGTGGTCTATAGTATAGCTAGCTAGATACAAGTATAGTAGATTTGACTATTGTAAACCGACATCAGCAATAACACAGACAATGTGTAATTTTTAGTATAGCTTTATTGATGAAATATGGACAATGCTGGATTCAAGTGCCTTCCAAACTCCAATTATTTCACCCAGTAAGTACCAAGTTAGTACCAAGTACTTCTAAATACAGGGTGCTGCGTTGTAAAATGAGGTATAGTTGTCAAGAAACTGTATCTTAGACTTTAATAACACTGACAGGAAAATGTATCGTGCTATTGTTCCTACAATTCAATCCCTAAAACAGATTGGATATAATCACATCAAAATAGTTAGTCCCATTGTTTAATTGGACAGTTTACCTATTTGTGCAGTGTATACTTTTTATTTATTGCATCGTCAGTCCGATCCCTAGTCGACGGGTGAGCTTAACTACATGTGGGATACTTGTGTTCCACTAGCTATAACAATTGCGAAATTGATTTTATCGTTAGAAGATTCTTTAAAATATACGTTTTAAAAATAAGGGTATCATAATTATTCGAAATAAGTAAAACATATACGTGAATCGCGATGTCTCAAAATATATCAACCTCAATAGACTATGAACACCGATGTTATATGATTTATGATAAAATAAACTATTTGAAAAAATCGTTAGTCAACAATTGTTTAATTTACCTTACGTCGTTAAAATGGTCGAGTCACGCTTGGATGGGTAAGTTAATGCCAATGGAGGGTAAAATTCAAAGTTATAAAGCAATCATTGCTAGAGTATTGATCAAGCAAGCTGATAACAGGATGTTTAGCATTCTTAATCGTTGGAGATGATATTTTTCCATAATTGGTATAACCATATTCCATGAAAATACACGAGTTGTCGATCAATGCAACTGTAAATGTGTGAAACTAACAAAGAGACGTGAAGATCGGTAGAGTCAAATGTTCAAATGGACAGTGCACATTGGCGTCACACCTGAGTCAGTAGAGAAGTTACGTTACGTTTTGAAGAACGTTAACGTATAAAAATGTTGGCTCCTCGGGGGATGATTTTGCTTTTCTTGACCGTTACTCACTCGAAAAAGAAAATAATTTTTGTAATCACGTCCCTGTGCAAACTAATATATTGAAAAGGTGACAATAACCCCTGGGGATCATAAGATTACACATTTACGTACGTCCTCCCAGATACGTATAACTTAAACTTTTTAACAATAACACAACAATACACAAAGCAGTGTCCAATTTGTCCGTTTGTTGTGACACACATAGCAACAAGTCACTGCTCACTGAAGCATATATACCCTTTAATAAATGGTCCCACTGAATAAACAGAGCAGACAATATGGATTGGTGTAGGATATCACTTTGCGTGGTTTGCTGCCGATCGACAAAGCGGCTATAATTTATCTCAATGTGGTAAAAGCTTAATCTCTCAAGCGATAAGACAATCAAACAGTCGTATATTGAAGAGAAATCTTCAACTGAATGGGTACGGTAAAAAAATCAATAAAGGTCACAACTAATATCTCTATGCTGGAGTCGAGACATTATGAGGAAATGATCAACTGAAGAGAAGGCAGAACATCATTACATCAACTTCTCGTTCCCAATAAAATAATTTACAGTTAGTTGATTGAATCTAGAATTTTTAGAAAGTTTTTTTCACCGATGTATAACATAGAACGGATATTGATGGAAGGTAGGAAAGGAACGCTGATCTGGATTGATTAAGATCGTTTGTTAATCTGGGAAATCAAGACTCGAAGCATATTAAATTTATCGTATCAATTCTGGTTAATGCCTATTGGATATACAGCTACTTCTATGTTTATAAGATAACATAGCATTGTTAAGTTACTGGTCCATTTTTTAAAAGAATGCCGATCATTTATTAGAAACTGTGTCATTGCGCACACGCGGTGATAAATTGTTGATGTCAAGAGTCAATGTCAAGGCGCTGCATGATCCGAGGATGGAGATGCATTGTTAGATATACTAGGCGCAACAGGTCGCGATCCATATACACTAAACTACAATATGGCTGTGTAAAAAGCAATTCCATATTAACGGGATTCATATCTAGGCTATTCATCAGCATATAGGTTCAGGTTTAATTGCAACTGTAAACCAAGTCGACCTCGTGAAAATGTGAAACAGTGATCGGTAACCTACTTTTCCCTACTACTAGTCAATACTGACAATCTTTGCATTTATCTTATGATTTCAGAAGGAGAGAAGTCTTTGAACAATAACAGTAGGACCGATAGCCCCGTAAACTTGAAGACAGAAACTGCAGTGACCTCCTTTCCACTCTCAGTAAAAGCTCCTACAATGGTAGCCAACGGTCTAACAGAACCAGCCGTTGCCGAAAAGCTTGTTCCAACACAGATAGGAAGCAGTCCAAGCCCAAGATTCACCCCGACTGATTTGGAACAAACCAAAATCGACAAGGGTCACCCAGAGAGGAAACGAAGGGCTAGTGATGAAATCAGCGTTGGGGTAAATATCATTATCATTATGTGCTTTGAATTGCTGAAATCCATTGAAAAAAATGAGTGCGTTACACCTTTAACAGGTACATGGATAGGTGTAAATAAAATAATTGTTTAGCCATGCTTTGTTAAACAACTAATGATATATTCTGGCTCAATATACCAATGACGTATGCAGCTTTGTACAACCTTGATGACTGTAGGGAGTTGGTATATAACCTCGTCGATATACGGGCAGCCGATGTTCCCATCTACGTAGCGTACTGTTCAATATTAACTGACAACATGGCTCTCTATTGATTTTGCAAGCACCTTTTTTATTTGAAGTAAATTTTTCAATTGCAAATGCAATGGCTTTGTTCAGATTGAGGTGTTTTCGCATTAATACGATACATAAACGATATAGTAATATTGGTATCTTTCCGCCTTGCCTGTTCCCATGACCAGGCAGACAATAGGCAGAACGAGAGATATTAGATCTCGTGCTTGAGAAATTTCCTTTATTAGTGAGTTGGTTTATAGTGTTGACGTGGAACGTTTTAATGAGAATAATATACCTAAGATACCTCTAACTACAACTGTACAAATATTCCAACAAAATGGCTGACAATGTCTATGGAAATTACATTCATGCCATAGAGCCCTGTTTGAATTACAAACTGGGTTTAATTAAGTAAACAATTTATGATATATCATTCAGATGTCATTCTAAATAGACAAGCAGTCCACTGATATGAACCATAATGGGGACAAAGGAGGTAAACTAGTTATATATACTATATAGACCATGATCACTATAATAATTGGTGATATACTCGTAATCATAGCACTTTGATAAAAATGAATCTTAGTTTTGTTTTATACGACGTACTATCCATCACGTTTTATGTCACTTTTTACCATGCTCGAAGAGTCTGGTTAGAAACCAAGATGAAGACGAGGCTCTCTTTTAAGAAGGGAACTCGGACAAATGCAAAGGGTAGTAACTTTTAAATTAATACATATACAATTATGTATATATTATACCCTGAGTCAGAAAACTTTGATAAAAGAGCGCAACATTGGTTTTCATCTACCGTCATGTTGTGAGCGTTAAATGGCGGCTTTTTATAATGAAATTGGTTTTTGATCCATGCTTAGTAGTATGGTTGTTTTATGTTTTTATATCATATCTACATATTTGACAGCTGAACAATACCTTCACTACCCATCCCACTCTAAGCACGCAAGGAACAGCTTATCCAATAGGTAAAATATTGAATTAGCATTTTATTCGTTTGACAGTTTGATTGAGATCGTTTTACTCCGATGGTTTTAAGCTCGACATTATGGAAATCAGAATCAAAATCGGTCTTTGTTTAATACTTATATTTCTATCAAAATGATCTATAGATTGAAACACGGAAGCCAAATAAAGAACTCCGTTATATTAAATACTCGATTCTGCAAATCCCCTTGGAAGACGGCGATCATATGGAAATCACGACAGTACGTAATAGTTGCCCAAGGAGTATTGGCTCCCAGGGTTCCAACTCGATATTTCATCTTGACGTTGATCGACGACAAGATTGAAAATGTTGTTATTTTCTGACATTATAACTGGTCTATAAATCCATAATCAGTGATCCAAAAGATCTGAACTAATGTCTTGATCACTCCTTAAATGTGTTTTCGGAAATAAGACCAAAACACGCGATTCAGATTCTGAACAAAAAATGGCGGCTATTTGATTTTGAATCTTGTAAAAACGACACGACTTTATATATGGCAGATTATAGGGTTGGAACCCTGGGAGGCATTCTTCCTTGATGGTTGCCTATTCGTTCAATCGTGTTCTATTAATATATGCATTTTGTGAAATGTTCTACTTTATAAGTAAGCTAGTCGGCTGATCAATTGACCAATTCCGCTGACATTAATTTCCTAAAATCAACCTCACATCTATAAACTAACTATGTTCTTTAATAAGAATGAAAAAAATGCTCAGGCAATGTTTTGTTATGCAACAAACATGTTTTTGATTAATCAAGGCCTAAAGTTAGACTGGGGTAATCCTTTTGCTTTTTTACGTCCAATTATATCAAATTGAGATATTGAAGTATGACATTCTATTAAACTTAATTTGATCTGACATTGAAGCTTTACAGTTGATCAATATCTTAATCTATAAGATTGACATACATTTATATATACGTTGTATCGAAGTGTGTTCGATCACGGTATAATTATCACAATAACCATTTCAGTTTTATGCTCTACCAGGGGGATTATGTCTACTATTAAACCGAGTATCAAAAATAAATTCCAAGAAGCATGATTCCCACATTAAGGAATTTACATCGTTATTAACAATAAATCATTAAAAAAATTTCAAGGCAAATTTTAAATTTATTCGCAAGTGAATTTTTTTTAAATGTTACGTCTTACTATCTAGAAAACATATACCAATATTTAGTCAAAGACAACTCTAGCTAGATATGCCTATACATAAAGGGTCTGTCAAATCACTAATGATTTGTATTTCTAGTTTAGATGATCATCTCTTTAAATAACTCTTTAAACTGTTAAACCTGATATTCATCAATGTGTTTCAGAGTTCCACAAAGGCAAGTGATGGTGCAGCCGATGACAATGGTAAAGATGACGATGATGATGACGACGACGAATCAGAAGAAAAAACATCAATTGAGCATGATCCAGAGAGACTTAAAGCTTTTAATGTAAGTCAAATAAGAAAACACAACACGAGTAATACGAGTTAAACAAATACAAACAACACTTTAGGAACAATATCTTTTTGAGCCAATCACAACAACGTTCTGTGACTATAATGCTAAACAACCAATAGAGTTTAATATAACTACATTTCTCAGGTCAAATCAAAATCAAAATCCTGCTCATTTTTTGGTATACAAAGCTAACAAATCTAGATAAAGGACATGCCCAATACTTCAAAAATATTCATATCATCCTTCAATGTCCCATTTATTCTGTTGTAGATAAGTCATGTTCCACCATACATGTAACTTGTACAAGGCGTGGCTTTCAGTATGAATGGTCAAAGGGCCAATATTCGTAATACATAATATGCTAACAAACCCATAAAACAAATCTTCAACAGAGTTCTATGCGCAAACCTATTCAACAATCATATCGACCATAGACACCTAGATCAAAATATGTAGAAGCCACAAAAGCATGTTTATTTAAAAGAACTTCGACCGTTCACTGTAAGGGACAATTGTCATTACATTAAGTGTTACTGTGGTTTTAATGCACACTAAGAGACAATTAAATAAACACATTATTAATGATTTTATAAATTAGTTCATGTTTATTTCAGATGTTCTGCAGATTGTTTGTTGACGAAAACTTAGATAGAACAGTTCCCATATCAAAACAACCTAAAGATAAAATCCAGGCTATATTGGAGGCCTGTGACAGACAATTCCCAGAATTCCATGGACGTTCCAGGAAAAGGATAAGGACATACCTGAAGTCCTGTAGGCGAATGAGAAGGTCTAAAGAAAATGGCTGGGAACCGGTAAGAAGGTCACACATGGAAGGTTTAATGTTGCGTTCAATTTTCGATTTGTTAAAGTTTGAATGAAACATTGGCAAACGTTTCTAAAGATCATTTTTAATATCAGTAATTAAATCTGCATGTTGTCACTCATATTTGAATACCATAAAACTCTTTCTCGAAATACAGGGAACAAATTGATATTGAGATGGTTTACAGTTTGCACGATACAGAAATGTAAGATGATAATTTCATTGTTCTGCCGGAACTGATCTAATCCTTTATAATCCATTAAGTGCTAGTCATGATTTTATCATACAGAAAAGCAGAAATGAAATGCATGTATATACCAGTGCATATTTTATAGAATCGTCTCGAATCGATTAACATTTCAAATCACTCATACACTGTAGGTCTTGGCTCGGTAAGGCAAATGAATCGATCTCCCCGTTTGGTGATATATACTATACTACATGTCAGTGGTATTATCAATTTAATTACAAACATATATCAGATAACAGATGACACCAATTTTAACTGTTCGGTTTTCAGCTTTCGTCACACCTATCTTCACCAATAGCAGAACAGATACTTGCACAGTCATGCGAAAACGAGGCAAACAACGCTAAACGCATGCGTATGGGACTGGAACCCCTACCGGTAACTGAATGTACTATTGTAGTGCTCTTGTGATCTATTGTTGCTTGACTATCATCTCTGATTTTCAGCTCCGACCGACCCCTCCACATCTTACGTCTGCAGCTGCAGAACAACTATTAGCACAGGCCTGTGAAAATGAAACCAACAATGCAAAGCGCATGAGGATGGGCTTAGACCCTTTGCCGGTAAAACCATAGATAGAAGAATATTTTAGATTGCATGTATTGGTGAGGGGTCGGTTTAAGCGAAAGGTGTACACACATCTACTAAGACGAATAACATTATTATATCACATCACTATGTACAGAATATGCTGATTTTACTTGTTCTACACACTATACTACACACTATATCTATGTCGTGGACCTTTTGCTCTAACCTGTAGTAGAACAATTTTTGTTTTATCACTTATTTGATGTTGTTTTGTGAGATAAATCCTTAACCCAGTGGTATTGGTAGTGTTATCCAGAGTGCCTGCGAACACAAAGATTTGAAAATGCAGTGCAACGCTAAAAATGATTTTTCTGACATAATTATCCCACCAAACGATTGCCACATTACATGTCACACATGATTATACAACAAGTAAAAATTGTCCAAATTAAACAGTCATTGGTTTATAAACGTTGACAAAAAACATTTCAAAATGATGTGGTACTACAATAGAATGGCATCATAGATCTAGATATGTACGGTGTCATTTACTTGTAATGTGCAAATTTCGCATACTCCATTACTTTTTACCCATTTTTCATAAGTTGTTACAAACAAAAACGTTCATATTCACATCAGTTTATACCCTATGTGAAAAGATCCGCCAAAATTAAGAATCTGTGAGCAAAGATGCAATAACCTTTCTTTCTCAAATGTATTGTAACCGTTATTTACTAAAAGTTTTGTTATTAAAACCTGAGTAGATCTTTTTGTGCTTGTACACTATACAGCTTAGCATGCGAGTGATAAGGTACTGCATTTGAAAATATAAATGTGTTCCAAAGCAATATCTATCTGCATTAATATTTAGTGTTATGAATGGTATATAGAGTACGCTTCTGATACTCGGTGAAAATGACATGAAAAGTTTTCGAGGTCGCTCTCGGTAATTCCATTATATATATTGCTTCAGGTTGTAAGATTTTTAGGTTCGCTTTAGGTAATTCTCTAAATATTTCTAAGATTTTAATTCCGCTATAGTTTTTTTGATTTACTTTATGCCTCACGCCTGAAGTAAACATTAACGTTCCAGATGGTATAAGGTATACTTTTTGTAGGTCCGTTTAGGTAACCGTCAGATTATGGGTATCACTTTAAGGTTCACCTTAGGTTCGAACCTACATCACCTGACACCTTCTGAAAGTCTCGGGACTGATGGTTGTAAACCTGAACTTACCACGTGCTTAACCGAATTGACCTAATTACTGGAATTACCAGAACACATTTAACAAATTGGCCTCGGGACCTGACAAACGTGTTTAGATTGGCAGTCACTCACATTTCAACTACGTTTTTTAACAAGGGAGTCTATAGCAAATAAAATGGAATCTCAAAAAGTGTTCACATTATATTAAGAGTTATTCAGAATAGTGAGGTGTTCGGATAACAGGCTTTACTGCATACCCTTTAGCTGTGCTTAGGTTGAAGCGGATCTTTACAAGAATATAACCAAACATCAATAGTTTGGGCTAAAACATGTTAAGTAAAAGGGATAAATACTCTCATTATATCAACCATTTATTTTAATAATCAAATAACCGCCCCTTTTGTTCAACTTATTTTTAATAGATAGTGCTAGGTTGGGAGGACTTGTTGAATTAAAAATTTGCTAACTGCTCCATTGCGCATGACATAATCTCTCACATATTTTATAAAGATGGCAGGTCGATTCAAATAATCAATCATAAGTAAGCATGTAAGGGAGTGATAAATTAGCATCATTCAGAATAAAATTGAGTTTGTATAATTCAAAATAATCATTTAGTAACAACAGAAAAATTTGAAAAGCGTCGAATTTGTAGGCGATTTTTTGGATTTATCAACTCATTTCGGGTGTTTTCCTGATACAATTTTGAACAAAATACTCAATCGAATATCAATAGCAATAGCATATGACATAACACTTTTGCAAAAAACAAAAGTAAAAAAACAAACGTACCTTTCCTCTGACATTTTGAAATCCGAAAGATTTTTGTCGCATATTTGCTCACAGATTCTTAATTTTGTCCGATCTGTTTACATAGGGTAGTTTAGCACCATCATCATTGTTGAAATATTACGTTCTCTTGGTATGATGAGTTTTCAATATGTGTCATGTAATAGATACGACTAGATATGAATGCCATAGGACAATGCAATGAGACATTATATGGGTCTTCATCACAATCAGAATTCTATGTATAATGGATGTGAAGTTCCGGTATATGATAAAAGTCACAATTACCTTGAAAGTTATATGGAAAGAGAACGTGTTAGTAAATCGTTATTGGGGTAATTGAAATAGTCTACATATACAGTTAACCACACATCTTTATTTATATATTTCAACACAGATATATTCACATGTATTTCTCAGTGGTGCATTTGATCATGATGCATGCAAAATCAACATACTTCAAACTGTTGTAGTTTAACATGAAAGAAAAGACCAAGTAGTAGGAGTTTGGAATTGTTCACTTCTTTTTCTAGTTGAACATCACCTGTTTGATTTGATTTTCTGATACTTTCATTCAGTTTTCATGCCTTTTGTATGTATGTACCAATGACTTTCACTATTTTATCGTGTGTGTTTGACTTCTTTTGGTGTATCTCTGTTTAATACGTACCTAGTTTTAGTGTTTCTCAATCAGTCCCTCAGTTCGTCGTCTTTAAAATAGCTGATGTATTTCTATTCCTTTAAATAGGCCAGTGCAATGGGTCTACCGTCCACAGGTGCTGTCCAGCCATCACAGACACCGGAAAAACCAGCAAAGACACAGCCTCCAGTTCCCCAGCCTTCATCGCACCAATCTCCCGTACTAGTCTCGCATCAACCGCAGCCACCCGTATCTCATCAGCCTCCCGCACTAGAGCGTCAGCCAGTCACAAGCGTCGCTAGTGTAGCGGATTACATGCGACACACAGGTGCGGCTGCACCGACAGCATTCAGACCTCCCCATGAAATACACAATCCTTTCCTTACGAATGGTAATGGGTTGTTCCGGCCCGGCTTCCCCGGAGCTGGTTTTCAGCACCAGGCACATCATCACCCACCCGTCATGCAGCACTCCACTATTGCTACACAACTACAAAATGGTAAGCTTACGAACCTGAACAATTACCCAAATTAAGATGTCTTAAGATAATGTAATCATACGAAATTGTGCATTTTACATGGTCTTATTTTGTGATAATACTTTGTTTATTTATTTACTTTATTGGTATGGTCTGTTGGGATTGGTTTAATCATGGTTGGTGCGTAGCTAATCCAAAGTGACATCTATACTATCCACCAATAAAATATTTTTGGCTGTGACGTTCCTTGTCATGTCTATTATCTAAAAATTCTCAACGTGCATACTTTATTTCAGGGAAACTAGATTTTTACAAAAATTTATTGTTTTTCTATAAACATGGTTACCATTTTTATTATTTGGGCGAATTTAAACATTTTCACCTAATTTTGTATTTTGAATCGTAAATAACTTCACCAATTTATAACATATCGTGAATCTTTCGGGAGATTGTATTTGAGCTTGTAAGGAATAGATTGATAGGTCAATTGTGCACGTTGCTTGCAATTTTTTCACCCCATACAGTATACATAGATCTGATTTTGCTTTTAAGATTATCAAGTAATTCTCCATCCATATTGTTACACACATTTTATCAAAACCGCGAGATGGGTTGAATAAAAGAATTGTGACTTCTTTTGGATCACTAAATAGAATATAGAATTATTTCAATTTCTGATCATTAGATGGGGTATATTCAAGATATTAAAATGTTTAAATATTATGGTATGTAATGCATGCATTTGTAATGTAGTGAAATATAATGAATGTATTCGCTGTGCCATTCTAGGACTCCCAGTGTCTGGTCCAACAGATTTGAGCATAAAGAAATCACAAGCGTCCTCCAAAACCCAGTTAAACTCAAGTGAGATCGCAACAATAAAACAACTGATCGCAGGTTACAGAGAGTCGGCAGCCTTCCTATATCGGTCAGCGGACGAACTTGAAACCCTTCTCCAACAGCAGAACTGAACCTCTGGAGAAAACATTGTTTGTGAGAACCACAGACAAAGGGTCGGGAATTAGTATAGTATATTTATCACGTCATGTGACGTATTGAAGATATGAGGTCAACGTTTTATAAGGTGCTACAGATTTTTTAACAGAAATTACATAGCAATCTTAATGCTGCACCTTCAAAACTTTGAAGATGGCTTATATATATAAAAATGCTGACTTAAGTACAGCAGTAAGTGCCTCTATATACATGATAGAAAATATCTGATAAACTATGTAAAACTATCAGTTTTATTTATAAGATTCACATTTACAACAGTAAAGTGCAATAGGCTAAACTGGCCACGATTCAGCCAAAAAGCAAAACGAGAGATTAAAAGTAATATAAAATATAGTTAATCAAATCGGGTAAGATAGTCATGTATTGATTGGTCCACACAATCAATTGTTTGATAAAATTTGTAATATACGTTATATCATTATTATATTTGGTGGCAGGTTGATTGTTGTTGTGTTGTTTTTGTAAAACAATATGGCGTTAAACATAGCAGACATTTACCAGTGTACAAAATTAGCAAACAGATATTTTACCTGTGTACAAATGTATTATTTAAGGCCATTGTCTCAGTCAGAATGCATAAATATTGGTGTTTCAACTGTTTAATGAAACAGTTTAATACATGCATTATGTACAATATGTACAATAATATGTACAATATGTACAGTTTGGCGCACATGTTCCTAAAATATGGATGCTACTATACTAGTTCCATTAAGCCGTATTAATTCCCGGGGCTGTGCGCCAGCTCAGTGATGCTTTGAGATGTACTGATCATTTCAAATGTGCATTCCATTATGTTAAGATATACTTTTGTACACCCTTTATGACATATGCGTTATTATGTCTGGATTGAATCTATTGTTCAAGTTCAAGATGCCGATTCCATGGTAGCCAAAGGTAAATGGTGCAATATAATTAAGCCTACTTCGCTCAACTACCAGCTTACTAACATCGGACAAAAGGATACTAAATGAGAGCTAACACCCCTGGGGCCACGAATTTGTGTTATTCCAATTCTAAAAGATTTCAGATTTATTGATCTGGATATACTTTAATTCGTACAATCGTAAGTTTTTTTGGAATCTATAAGATTTATCAGAATAACTTTTTGATCGTAGGAATTCTCGGTCCCTGGTGTAACTCTTGGTTAATTATGAGATTTGTACCGGGAGTAAATTAACCTCTATATATGGTCATATATGGTCTTTGTCGATCACCTTATATGGTCATATATGGTCTTTGTTGAGCAGAGGGCGTTAGATACTTAACATCTCATTCTGTTTCATGGTGGATCCTTTTTAGAAGATTTTGAGAATCTTTTACAAGATTTACCCGATCTGTCTCATGCCAAATAAAGTCACAAAATATTCATATTTTTTATACTGGAGGCAATTGTAATTTATTCGTGAATGATTTGAAGTCAACATTCCCTTAATTTATTTATTGTACTGAGTTTAATTCCAAGTCAATAACATTCCTCTGGAATCAACATTTTGCGATAGAGATCGTATTGTAGTGTTGCCTTGTGTGCAAGGGTATAATTAGTGGGTATAAAAATAGTGTATTTATTCTAATAATATATAACCATATTTATTTATTTATTTTATTGGTATTAATGTTTGTGTGACATCTTAAGTATTGGACGGTATAGTTTACGTGGTAGTTTGTAGATAAAGTACTGTAAAACAATGATGTCCATGGAATCTATTCTATTGAAGGAACAAATAAATTTATATACAATATAATATATATTTGTTTGTGTAAATCATATAATACATAGAGAATTGCTCAACTAAAGCTGGCATTTAAGACAGGTTAAAAAACTTAGCTAACACTTCATTGATACTGCAATATCAGCAAGGCGACTAAAACCAAAATATATCATCGATTAGGGTGGCGGTCCAATGAACTCACCTTTTAGAGCAAATATAATCCAAGTTGAAGGACTTGTTACATTATATTATTACTAAGAACCCCTGGCACTATAAAACTGCAAAATTTGATGTATGTAGGTTGGAAAATAAAAAAGTTGTAGTGTTGAAAAAAAGTGGCGTTTTTGGCCCACCCTGTAGTGAAAGCATGGTGGCTTAAAACCGCACTTTGTCTCCCTCAGCTCTAATTCTATACACTGTATACATTAAGACAACTGCACAAAGGCCTAGAAGAACGGCGTCCTGAAACAAGCTGCCGGACCGTTGTTTTAGGACGCGGGTATTTTTTGGTATAAAACGATTCTTATCCATATTTATCAATGAATAGAATTCATGAATAATAGAATTTTAGATAGTTAAATACATACAGATAGTATTCTGTTCAGTGTTAGCCTTTTGTCGTCTAGCTTAAGGGAATATTAGGAGCGTTCAAGAGGAAATCAACCCAACCACTCGACCTGGTACCTATAAAATGTTCACCTTTACACTCTCTTTGGCATTTCCGTGTTATTGAAGGAAATATCAAATAAACTTGTAATAACTGTACTCAGAATCGACATTACGTGCAAAATGTCACCACCTGACATTAGTTACAGACGCCGAACGCCAACTGCCGAACACTGTCCAAAAAACGTTGGAGACAACAATATGTCACCACTTCTGGTGGTGACATGAAAATGATAAAATCTGTGGACACCTGCACTTTTCATCCATTCTCCGTTAAGCCTGAAAAACTTCCTTTCCTAATGATGTTAATCAAACTATGTGCTCTTTTATGCTATAAATGGCATATATTTATCAAAAATTATGATATGGCAGAAAAATTAAATACATATTACATGTGCACCATATTGTGTTACTGACTTGGAGGTGCCTGAAGTATGTGGGGGTATCCAAAATGGCTTGTCACCGAAGTGATAAGTGAACATAGATTTGCTGTTCATTATACACAATTGGCATACAGTCGTTATGTAACATAAACATGCATAACCTAACGATCCATCTTTTAGTCTTTCAGAAGTTTAACTTTGAATTCTATCACTCAGTTGTATCTAATTTACGAGTTAGACTATACATTTCAACCTGATCTCATATGTAAGCTTCTTATCAACAAGTTATAGTAAGCAGCAAACTAGTCACATAGTGATACCTGATCCAGCAAACAATACTTTTTATGACATAGGGTCCACGTAATCAGAATTTCTAGTCCAACTTATGGATTCTAGAATTGAAATTCTGGCCCTAATTTACGGGACTGCCATTTAAAAGAATATGCAAACATAAATTATGACAAATCTTATACAACAGATATTTTAATAGGCACTTTGGGTCTCTTCTAAAACCAGCTATATTCCCGATCATGGTTTCATATTTCTTGTGATATAATCCTGCTGCAGTCATAAATTAATTTCCGAGATTAATTTGCGGGACACACACTTTTTGATAATACGAAGATTAACTTTATTTATATCAATTTACTTGTTAGGACCATAAGATCGATATGCAACCAGGGAAATAAGATGTACAATATTTGTCATTTTAGTATTTATAGGTGTCCCGTAAATGAGGTTTGTTAATGTGTCTTAAAATATACTGTTTATACAATGCGTCATAACTTCTCTAATTTTGATACAAGGAAACTTGGTATTTTTCACCCACAGACCATCGTCATCCATAAACTAAGTAGCGCTAGTATTTTGGTTGAGGTCGAAAAATTAATATTTTGACACCTCAAAAGTCACGCTTAACGGAGAATGAGCGTTTTGAACCTGATTCAAGAAATGTCACTAATCAATTTTCACATGTCATGGGGCACCCTACATGAATCTGAAGACATCTACGTGATATGGCCAAATACATCACGTGCTAGATTTTTAGAAATATGGGTATTTTTGGAGGAAATTTGCCATTTTGAAAAAATAGGGCACAATTTTGAAATGTGGGTCCATATTTGACTGAACTACGTAGGTCCAAAGTTTGGCTTCGAATTCAACATCTATGTCTTCTGTACAAATGTGCAAATACATATACAAACTTTACGTCCCTGCACGATTTATGTGGCGAAGTTGAGTCTCTCTATCTTTTACAAAACATGAAAACAAATATAGTTTAAAATATAAATTTATTAAAGAAAAGTTAAAGTCAAAAAATATCATTTTAATCAGTTACTTACAGTTTTTGGTTAGTCCCGAGTTCACGCAACGAGGTTCTGAGGTTTCAATGCCAAAAATGCCTCTTTTATATCTTAATTTTGAGGTGGGCAGAGCCGAAATAAGAGGTCTTATCCAATAGAATATTAGGAAATCCCATTAACTAAAATTGGCCTAAAAATAAATGTTTAATTTTATAAAATGTCAATAAGAAATAGTGATGATTTTCTGCCCACAAAGCTTGAATGTTTACTGAGAATCTGAGAATTTGGAAGATTTTGGTGAGAAAGGAATGTCTAGACAAAACCTCTGAGCCTTGTCTCATGAACTCTGGATGTTTAATCTAATCATCTGATTTAATTCATTATCTAATTTATGTCCGAAACACATATTTATAAGTAAATTTGCCTCTAAAAAGTATACAGTTATTCATAAAATGTGATGTAGATAATAAAGGTATAAACATTTGCAAAGCATATACAGCAGTATTAATGTTTTGGTCAGTTGTACTCCAGTTTTAATAGCTTTTTACTTTTTTTATCAGAAAGGAGGGCGAGTTGTTTGTAGAATGAATCGGGGGATTTTTTTCATGAATTTCGCTTATGTTTTTCATCCAAAAAACATCAATTCACTTTAAAACATTTTGTTTACTTTAAGATTACACCATGTAATCCAAAAATATATTTCTCGTTTTCAAAGATAATCCATGGATTAACACCCAGGTATTTTTATTTTTCAAACTTCAGAGGGCTGGGAATCATTGATGCTCAACGCTTTTGAATATGATAAATGCTGTTTTAAATAGGTTTTACGTATGCCATTAATTTCTCAAATTATGTAAGCTGAATGCGCCCTAGAATATTCTCTTGGAGGAATCCAATGGTAATCCAATGGTAGTTCCAAGCAGATTTTTAGATGGCAGGTAAGTAAATTCTTTAGTACTCGCCTTATTGGGTTGAGTTAGTTTATATTCAAAAATTATATATGATTCTGTAAAGATGTCAGTGTGGATTCTATATAGATTGCACACGTATGGTAAGCTGTATAATCCTATATTATGTAACACGAGTACAGTTTTGGTTGACATGATTGTGACTGAGTGAGAGATTAAACTCTTTAAGGTAGTTCTGCATGTTGATAATTTTTACTAATTTTGGTGATGAATAAATTATCTGATATTTATAAATTGGGCAAAATTTTTTACATTTTAAGTGGATATAAAGAATTATGGTAACATACACATGGACCATGCATACACATACACTTACAAATGTGAAAATATTGTCCCTTTCATTGATTATCGGTATTTATAATCATGAAAATTATTGAAAAATATCGAGACATGTCTACCTTAAAATCAAATTGGCTTACAAGTACCCTAAGCTATTTTTACATTTTTATTGCAAGAAAATCTTTTTGCAAGGGTTACAAAGGTTGAAATATTGTGGTGGCTCTATTTGGCTGGAGTTTAATATTCAGACCTAGCTATAGGTATTATTACATTTATATGTACACTAGTATCTTGTTGACCTATATTCAGCACTGTATTGATGAATGGGCCACTTATTAGGGCCAATATTCAATCATAAAGTGTACAGGGGTAGAGATGCCAAACCAAGAAGTCTTTTTGTGTCTGTCAAAATCCATTTGCATCC